CAGAGCCAGAGAGACTGAGGTAGTCCATTCATAATAAGAAAAAAGTGTATGCAATCTATAAGCAATCTTAAATCCAAGTGATCTCATTTAAAAAGAGGGAAATTAAAGATAAAACAAAACAGAAAATTACTCATCAAGATAAGAACATATAATAAAAGAAATATATACATATTATGCAAAAGAGAAATGTCTCAGCATTAGGACATAAGTCCATTATAACTATGTCTTTCAATATAAAATAAACAAATCAAAGACTATGTCATTTCTTGATTTGGAGAGGTAGTGAGGAGAGGGGAAGATAATACAAAAGAGCTGGCTAAAATAGAGAGTAAATGGATTTTTGATGTTAACACTTTATCTCCTAATGGATTGAATCTTGATTTTGAATTTGTCCATTTTTTATAAAGAGTATATTTTTTATAACGAACATATGTTTTTAAATTGGTAGTTTTTTAATGGTAATATTTAGTTTTTTTAGTAAAAATGTTTTTTTCTTGTAATTGCCTATCTCTTCCTTTGTACCAACTCTTTTAATTCTTAGGTATATGTATGATATGACATAGTCTTTTATTTGTTTATTTTATATTGAAAAACATTGTTATAATGGACTTATGTCCTAATGCTGAGACATTTCTCTTTTGCATAATATGTATATATTTCTTTTATTATATGTTCTTATTTTGATGAGCAATTTTCTGTTTTGTTTTATCTTTAATTTCCCTCCTTTTCAATGAGATCACTTGAATTTAAGATTGCTTATAGATTGCCTACACTTTTTTCTTATTATGAATGGACTACCTCAGTCTCTCTGGCTCTGGAGAGACTAAGATATAAGCAGACTTATCTGCCAGAGTACGAACGGTCGGAACTACATACAGGGGATTGTGTTACAACATGCGTTCCAGCGCATAGAAAACGTAAGTGACGTCACTCGCGAAAAAACGGAAGTGACGCACCGGCAATCAAAAGATCATTTACAGATGAGTGAGGAAGTGGGAACATTTAAAAGTGGACGAAAGAACTTGGAAAACAGCACTTGAAGAAGGCTGATCGCTGAAACGCATCTGCTGACATAGGTTTTATCCTTTGTTTGTTATTTAACATTTACTTGTGGATGACTTACCATTGGGGTGAGTGGATCTCTGGCTTTGTTACCTTATTGTATTTTATGCTGAGTTCCACCCCCATAGTACCCTTTTAAATATATTTCTTTATACAATAGTTTTTTAACCTATTCTAAGTCCACCTTTCATCATTGATATTGGGATCGTTAGCCAGTATTGGCACCCCTGAGCCTGCTAGACAGAGCCTAGTACGGCTCTGGGAAATGTGAGTGCTAGTACTGAGTCTTATTACTTCTTTATATTTTTATACAGTTTACACTATGTTGTATTTTATGTTTTAGGCATTATCTTGCTATATTTGAACATTACTCTATTCATCTATTATCTGCACTGGGTTTTGTATACATACTGGTATATTGTATATATTGTAAATAGTAATACGTTGTTAATAGTAGTTAATTTGCATTAATAATCAGCATGAATTAAAATAAACAAGTTACTGACCACATATGAAGAGAACCGCTAAGCAGATTTCCCTGAGAACACCACAGTGGAACGCAAGTTGCGTTTCAATACAATTACTTGTGGGTACGTCATATCCACACATGCGCTCAAGGGAGCCAGATGGCACAGCCCTTGGCTAAGTCCGGGCACATGCTCGGATCACCCTGACCAACCACACAATATGGGTGATCCACACAGGCAGAACTAAGCATGCGCGTGGACGGCCAAGAAAATCAATTAACATAAGCAACAATAAGCCTAATGGCAAAATTAATTAAAGTGCCAGATACATGGAATAGCAAAAAATATAATTAAATTCAAATATACATGCTCATAAATGACAAAAAGTATCCACAAAGCTGTTTATATTTGATAACTATAAATTACATCAACATTCACTGTCTGTATATTATAAAGGCATATTCTGCAATACTTCAGTACTGTCTCTGACATAAAATTTAATTTGGGACAGGTATGGTCTGGCAAGTTGATCTAAAAATTTTGCCAAAGGTAATAATAAAGAATCAATTTCAGCCACTATAGGCCTACCTGGTGGATCTATCAAGGATTTATGTATTTTGGGCAATACATATAAGATAGGCACAATTGGGGAGTTTACCGTAAGAAACTGAAAAAGGTCGTAGAAAATGAAATTATAGACAAAGACCTTTTTCAATTTCTTACGGTAAACTCCCCAATTGTGCCTGTCTTATATGTATCCACCAGGTAGGCCCATAGTGGCTGGCATTGATTATTTATTGTCACCTTTGGAAAAAAATTTAGATCAACTTGCCAGACCATACCTATCCTAATTAAATCTTATGTCAGAGACACTACTGAAGTATTACAGAAACTAGAGAAGTAGAAAATGCACACAATATTGTCTTGGTTACATTTGATGTTAACAGTTTATATACCTCCATGCCCCAAATGGAAGGTATCTCAGCAATTAATCTTGCACTCCAGAAGTTGGGTTATGTAGAACCTGTATTATCCTTTCTATTGCAGCTGTTGACATTAATCATGAGGGAAAATTACTTTCTATTTAAGGATGATTTTTTCATCCAGAGGAGGGGAACATCGATGGGTTCAAATGTGACTCCCACATATGCCGGCATATATATGGACCCATCCACATGCGTGCTGTATGTTATGTGATTGTTTTAATTTTCTCTATATATACTGTGTTAGTTGGTGTATTTGTTAGCTTGATAAAGACCTAGATGGTCGAAACGTTGCTGTGGTTCTAATAAAGTGCCTATCTTGAACAAAGGAGTTCCTGGACCTTTTTTTCCTTTATTCTATTACTTTGGGAATCTGGTGTTGGGTTCCGGTACAGTTAAAGCACCCTGGCTCAGACTGATGGGAGTGAGTGCAGATCCCTATACACTCTACAAGGATTGTTAGAAACTCTGTCCTCTGCACCTGTGAGGCAGCATAGAGGGAGCATACAGAGAGGAGGAGAAATGAAACAATGGTTCTTTTCCTACTCCTTGTTTTCATGTTTGCCCTGTTCCTGGTCTGAATTGGATTATGATGTATTTTGATAAATCTATAAAACAGAGCATCACATGAAAATCACAAGAGAAATGTTGGGTTAACTATTACTATTTTAAAGCTCCTTACATTTTACCCTAGAAATACAGATGTATTTAATTATTAATATACACATGACTTTTTACTTTTTTTCAAATTCTCTCCTAGATAAGGAATTTGCTTAAAATGAACCAGACAGAAATAAGAGAATTTCTGCTCCTGGGATTTCAGAATATTCAGATTTTTAACCATGTGCTATTTGTTCTTGTCCTATTAATATACATATTAACACTGATCAGTAACCTGCTAATTATTATATTAGTGGCGAAGGTCTCAAACCTGAAATCTCCCATGTATTTCTTCCTCAGTCAGTTATCCTTGTCTGATATATTGATCACCACAAATATAACACCAAACATGCTGCAATGTCTCATTACTGGGGGAAACCACATATCCATTAACGGCTGCCTCACTCAACTTGGCTTCCACTGTATATCATCAGGAGCAGAATGTCTTCTTCTCACAGCGATGTCCTATGACCGGTATTTGGCCATCTGTGACCCATTACATTACATTTCTATCATGGATCATAGATGTTGTCTCTTGATGACTATTTGCTCATGGCTGTTAGCATTTATACCAATGACTGTTATTATTTTATTAGTTTCTAACTTACATTTCTGTGGACCCAATATATTTGACCATTATTTCTGTGACTTTGGACCTCTTCTTGAGAAGTCTTGCTCAGAATACACTGTCATTTTAGTTGTAGATTTTGCCTTAGCTGCACCTTATGTTTTATTCCCCTTTTTGTTTATAATTTTCACATATATCTCAATTTGTATCACCATCTTGTCAATCCCTTCCACCACTGGAAGACAGAAAGCCTTTTCTACCTGCAGCTCTCACTTGGCTGTAGTGAGTATGTATTATGGGACAATAATAGCTGTATATATGGCACCCTCAAAAGGCCAGTCAGTCAATGTCAATAAGATTATGTCTCTTCTCTACACACTGGGAACCCCCTTTTTAAACCCAATCATATATAGTCTTAGGAATGAGGAGATTAAGAAAGCTTTCGTGAAATGGACATCAATCAACTCAAAAAGGCATTAGAGTTAGCATGGAAACACCATCAAGACATAGCAATGTATCAGTCCAGATTTTATTACATGTTCATAATGTTGTCCTATTACAAATTCGTGTTTCATATGCGCTGTTTCTTGAAGCGTGTTCCCTCTGTTTGATCTGTATTTCTGGCTACCCCTTAAATGGGTGTTGCTTTCTTTTGTACTCTTTAAGATATGTTTCAATTACTCACTTTGCTTGTTTCTTCTGTTGCAGTGTTTTGTTTTGGTTTTTTGTTTATTTATTTATTTTCCTTCTTTGTCTCAGGCTGATCCTATTTCTTTTAAATTACTTAAGACTATCAACTTTTTTTGTTGAAAGTCCCAAGTAGAAAAATATGGTACAGTCATAAGATAGTAAATGTAGCATCTTTAAAATTGGGCATTATATTTGCAGTAGTTTAAGCGTAAATATGAGTTAACTACCATGTAGTTTTGGAAAGAAAAAACATCTCCAGAAATATTTTAGATGTCCTGGGCAGTAATGATTAAATGTATTTTTCATTTCAGCATGCATAAATTACACATTATTTAATGGGAGCAAAAATGAAAATTTTGGTTGAATTGATATGCTTTTTAAAAAATTATTTAAAATAGTGAAGTTGCAGATAAGAAAAAATGTTGTAAATAAATAACATTTATGAATATGTAGCACTGACATTGTCCCCACATAGTTTACAATCTTCCTCTCACAAATGCCTTGGGGAATTCTTGTGGCCTTGATTTCTGCATAGTGTTTTTTTGTAAGTCTGTCAGTTGAGTGTGACTGTGTGTATGGGGGTGACTGTGTATATGGGGAGGTGACTGTGTGTACAGGGGTAACTGTGTATGTGGGGTAACTGTGTATATGGGGAGGTGACTGTGTGTACAGGGGTAACTGTGTATGGGGGTGACTGTGTATGTGGGGTAACTGTGTATATGGAAGGTGTGTATAGGGGATAAAAGTGTGTATGCAGGGTGAAAGTGAGGGAGGTCATTGTGGAGGACCACGTAGGGGTTTGAAAAGGTGTCGGGGAGCTTTGTTGATATATCCACCCACATAATACACACACATTTTTCATACATGACCCATCTGTTTATGTTCCTCCTCATATTGTTCCATATAACCCCTATTTTTTTGTCCAACCCCTCCATTTACATTTAACATCAGGCCCCATTGTGTATGCCCCTCCAACCTTTATATTAATTTACATATCCTTGTTTTTTGTCATCCCCATACACATTTCATCAATACAATGCTTTATTTTATCTCAGTATCCTGTTTTACTGTATGCCCTTTATTCATTTTTATAACATCCTCTACCTCTCTACACAACAGTAAAGGAGAAAATGTCCCTGGCAGTTTTTATAGCACCTGCAAAATTACGGCTAAATTGGCTTCCGAACAAGGGAAAATTTTGCAAGAATTTGAAGAATTGTTGCAATTAGTGTATACATGATTGTGGCATATGGCTGCACTCCATAGCAATAAGGTATACATGAATGCGCCCCCAAACATATATTATTATATAATTTTTTTAAAACATGCTTTGGGCTTTCTTTTGATAGTCCAGATCAGGGGTAGGCAACATTCAACATTCCAGATGTTGTAGTCTACATTTTCCCTGATGCTTTGCCAGCATTATGGCTGTAAGAGCAATATGGAAGATGCAGTCTACAACAACTGGTGTGACAAAGGTTGCCTATCCCTGGTCCATATATATATATATATATATATATATATATATATATATATATACACAGCACCAAGTATGAAAAATAGAACAACAAAGACAAATACATATACATAAAAATAAAAAAAAAAAATAGAATAATTTCTTTGTCCGGATTGGGATGTGCCTTATATATCTACCATTTTAATACATTTTGTACTGAAAGGCAAATGGAACAAGGACAAGTTTAAAAACAAAATGTTTTAAAACAGAAACGTGTCATGTTGTTTAGGGTAAAATGTTAAACATGGTTCTAAAATGTTGGTTTGCATGTCTAGCCACTTTTGTATGTTATGTTTTAAATGAGTTTCACATTGGTTTATACATGTCTTCTAGTTATAATAAATTAAATTTAGATTTTTTTAATGTTTCATGTGTAAATTTTGCATTAATTTGTTTCTAATTTTAAATATCTTTGTATAGTAAAAGTGCTTATTCTTTGGACCAATAAAACGAGCTGTATAAGAGATATCATAGGATAAAGATTTGACTGTTTGGACCCCGACAGTTCCCATATTGTACGTGGTAACCACAGTCTCATAAAGTCATATCATATGAAAAAGAGATGCTGCAGTCTAGTTATCATAACATCTGTTGTGTTAGTATCCTGATTATGATTATGTAGCGGTACCCGGGGTCCTCTCTTCCCGCCGCGTGCGGCTCTCGGATGAAGGCGGGCAGGGACCGCGAGATGCGGTCATGTGTCCCGCCTGCAGCGGAAGTGCGTCTGTCAACACTGTTTGGTAGTCCAAAGCTCCAAAAGAGAAAGGTAAAAGGCAACAATAGTGCTCTCAATTGTGATGGAGTAAGAGAGTAAAATAGAAGATAAAATAATACTCACAAAGATAGAGCAGAGGTACTGCTCAATGGATGGAAGCGTTGGTGGTATGATCCCCACCTGGGATTTCTTGGAGTACTGGAACAGTAAAAATGCCAGAGGAAGGAAAAGTAACCAGGAACGTTTAAAATGCCAGGAGTAAGTAAAAGAGTTTAAAGTGCATAGAGAGTGCAATAAAAAGAGAATTGATACAGTAAAGTAGCCAAAAAACTTTTATTGTTCTAAAATACACAGTATTGTGGCTTTATTTTTTTTATAAGTTCGACGGGTATTACGGATTTTTATTTGGCCTTTTTTGGGGCTGCAAAAGAAGGTTTTAGAAAAAAAGAAATCAAATGGTAAGTATTTTTTTTTAATTATTTACAGGTATTTAGTTTTATTGTCTCCCCTCTCACTATTTTTAGGTTGAGGGGTGTAGGTAGGGATTTATTTAATTTTTTTAGGGGGGGTGACTAGGGTCTTGAGGACCCCTTAGTCACCTGGGGGGGTATTTTTACATTTAGCCCCCACCTGTAACCCATGGGTGGGTCCAGGGGGGAGGGCAATAGGCCCCCCCATTGTCATATAGGGCACCCACCCATCACCCATGTGTGGTGGCCGGTGAGAGAACAAAATGGTGGGGGCCCGGAGGGAGAACAATAGTTGTCCCCCCAATTTAATTTAGCACCCTCACCTGCCGTACATGGGTGGGGGCTGGGGGGAAACTAGGTTCCCCCATTAACCTGTTTAAAAGTTGCACTGCTGAAGGCAACAGAAAATTACATTAGGCTTGGAAGTAAAAGAAAAAAAATTAAGAAACCACAGTGGTACTCTGCAGATGTGCCCAAAATAGTAAAAAACGAAAAGTTTGCATTTAGTAATTATAAAAACAAGAGTGAGAAAGATAAACAGATCTATAAGATTAGGCAGAAAGAGGCTTAGCAAGTTATAAAGGCATCCAAATCACACACAGAAGAGAAAATTGTCAGTAAAAAAAGAGGACAAAACATTTTTTTAGATACATAAATGAGAAAAGGATAGTAAAAAAAGGATTAGTTAGATTAAAAACAAAAGAAGGAAGGTATGAAGAAGAAGATAAATGTCTAGCTGACTCCCTTAAAGACTATTTTTGTTCAGTATTTACAGATGAAAACAAAGGAAAGGGGCCTCAGTTATGAAAAAGGACAAATGAGTAATTTGTTACATGTGAGTTTACAGAGAAAGAGGTTCTGTTTCAACTGTCAAGAGTAAAGACAACTAAGTCGATGGGACCTGATGGAATACACCCAAAGTTATTAAAAGAGCTTAGTGTTGTACTAGCAAAACCATCAACAGATTTATTTAACCAATCATTGTTAACAGGAGTAGTCCATGAAGATTTGAAGTTAGCGAATGCTGTGCCCATTCACAAGAAAGGAGTCGGGCAACTATAGGCCAATAAGCAGTGGGGAAAGTGATGGAAACCATGTTAAAGAATTGCTTACATTGTTGAACATCTAAAATCACATGGATTTCAAGATCAACATGGGTTTACTTCAAGGAGATCATGCCAAACTAATCTTATTGATTTTTTTGTTATAGTTATAGATCAGGGTGATGCATTAGAGATATTTTTTTCCAATTTACATCAGGAAGATTAAAGTCACCCATGATGATAACTTCCCCCTTCATTGTCATTTTAGCTATTTCCTCAACTAGTAGATTATCTAACTCTTCAATTTGTCCTGGGGGCCAATAAATCACACCTACATGAGTTACTGTGTGGCAACCCAATTCTAACATAACCCAAACGGACTCTGTTTGCCTCACTAACTTTTATTAGGCTAGATTTTATGTTATCCTTCACATACAGAGCCACCCCTCCCCATTTCTTGCCTTCCATATCTTTTCTATATGAAGAGTACCCTGGTATTGCTATGTCCGAGTCATTTTTCTCATTATACCATGTCTCAGTAACAGCGACTAAATCTACACTATCAGTTGCCATCATTGCCACAAGTTCATCTTATTCCCTAAACTGCGAGCATTTGTAGGCATGACTCTAAGCTTATCATTTTTTAACACACTTTCTACAGGCACATTCTGTCCTTGTTTTGGGGGACAATTGGACTGATGTTTTATCACCCTTTTGCCAACCTCCTAGTTTAAATACATCCTAGCAAAACCTCTGAACTGCTCACTGAGAACATTTGTTCACTTTTGAGAACGATGCAAACCATCTTTTTTGTACAGCTTATTTCCATTCCAAACAGAGCTACCATGAGAAATAAAGTCAAATCCTTGCTCCTGACACCATTCACCAAGCCACAAATTAAAGTCCCTAATATGCATCTGCCTGTCATTCTGAGTGTTACGCACAGGCAGAACTTCAGAGAATGACAGTGTGGAAGCAACCTGCCGTATATCATTGGCAAAAATACTAAAAACTTCCTTAACCTCTGAAACCTCATTGCAAGCCAAGTTATTTGTCCCTAGATGGACAAGTACATCCAATTCCCCTTCCTGCTTTGCTTGCTTAACAAAATTACAGATATGTCTCCGGTCTCTGTGAGCAGTAGCTCCGGGAAGACACCTCACAAGACCACCATTGTCCATCTCCACACCTCTTATGATGGAATTCCCCAACAACAATTGCTTTCTATTAGGCCTCACCATAGTCTCCAAGCCGGTCTCCACTACACCACTAGCCTCAGTGCCTCTTTCCACAACACCACTAGTCTCCGTGCCTCTCTCCACCATTACACTCTGAAAGTGCAGAAAATGAAATATGTAGAGCAACAGACTGTGCAAAATGCCTTTTATCCACAACTCTAAGTCTACCAGATCCTACAGTAATCCATCTGCCATTCCTAGTATGTCTCTGTGGCAGTGGCTTTGCAGTTTATTCACCAGATAATTTATAAATCTCAGACTTCAAAAATACAATCTCCTGCCGCAAGATAGAGAACTGTCTACAGATTAGACAACAACCAAACCTCCAAAAAGTGGAACGTGAAACAAATGCATAGCAACTATTACACTGAACTAAGTCTTCCAATGAGGAGAATGATTTAAATCAAACAAATCTTAACTTTTTATTTATCCTCCTGAATACCTCAGATTACCTCCAGGTTATCTCCAGAATATCTCCAATGAGACACTTAGAAGCAACACTTACGTGAAGCAACCAAGCATGATGTTATGTTTCGAAAGGAATCTTGTGAATAATGTAAAGGCCCTGTCGTATGTTTTGTGCATGTTTTTTGACAGTGCCAATTGGGATAATTGGATGCCTGCTCTGTTGTATAATGGTGTCTAGTCCAGTATTAGTTGTTGAATTGTTGGAGTAGTTGTGGCTGTGAGCGCAGCTGACGGGAGTGCTTGATGAAATGCCTGAAATTTAAAAGGAGACAAATTGTCAGCAGCTGTGTTACATATACCTGGAACATGGAAACAATACTGTAAGAAATTATGACAAGCCGCCAACCAAGTGAGTTTCCTCAGAAATCTCATGTTCGTAAGGGATTTGGAATGACCTTTGTTTGATGATGTGACAGGTTGCGTGGTTATCTGAGTAGCAACGTACTGGCATGTTTGCCCAGAAATAACCCCATGCTACGGCAGCCGCCACGATGGGATAGATCTCAAAGAGAGCTGAGGTAATGGAAAAACCCTCCAAATCCTGAACTGCTGTAGGCCAGCTGCCCCAAAGCCATTCGTTCCCCAAAATTGCTACAAAACCTTTGGTAGATGCCGCATCTTACCAAATGGTAGGTGATAAGTCAGTCAATTGAGGGAGGAACATACTTTTACCATTCCAAGTGGTTAAACATTTCTTCCACATGCGGAAGTATGCCGTAGCTTGAGTATCTAAGGACAACCTGTGTGTGTCGTGTAGGAAGAGTGGAAATAAATACAAGAGTCGTGATATGAAGGAGCGGCCTTGAGGTAGGATTCGCATGGCAAAATTTAGAGAACCCAGCAGGCTCTTTGCGGTTGCAAGTACCGAGCTGAAGGTAGTGGTTGATGTAGGTCAAAATGTTTCCTATCGTGTTGTGTGGCAGGCTTGCTTGCATCGTGGTTGAGTCTAATTGAATACCCAGGAATGTGATAACCGTGTCTGGCCCCTCGGTTTTCTTTGGGGAGATTGGGACCCCTAGCTTTTCAAATAGATTGATGGTAGCTTTGAGGCTACTGGGAGGGGAAGTGTTCTCCTCGACCAGTAAGAATCATGCAGATAATGTAATACCGTAGGGCATCTGGCTATGTTCAATAGTAACCAGCACAATGCTTCGGCAAATGTGTCAAAAACAGCCAGGCTACTTTTGGACCCAAAAGTTAAACGGGAGAAAAAATAGTAGTTCCCGGACCACTTGATGCCATGCAGGTGCCACGGTGTAGGGTGGATTGGAAGCAATTTAAAGGCGTGAGTAATATCGGTCTTACTAAGCCATGCTCCGACCCCTGCTTGTATGATAGCTGTAATGGTGTGATCTATGGTAGTGTGTTGCAGGGAGAATTCCTCGGAGGGTATGAGGGAATTGAGACTGGGGTTAGCCAATGAGTGTGGTGCAGAAAGGTCAATGATGAGTCTCTGTTTAAGGGAAGATTTCCCTGTGACAATACCAATGGGGTTAGTGTGCCATTCTTTGAACGGAGGAGACTTGAAAGGCCCCAATAAGAAACCCTCAGCAATTTCTTGGGTTATGAGAGTGTCAACAGCTGTGGGGTTGTGTTTTGCGAATTGTAGATTAGGGCATTCCAGAATCCCGGACGGTATGTGTAGAATACCTGTGTGGAAGCCTTCTGTTAAACCAGAGATAAGGAAATCTACCAAGTGTTTAGACGGGTGATGTGACAGAAATGCTGTAAATACCGAAATGTTAATGGACGTTAGGTAAGGCTTAGAGTACATTTTATTTGGACACATGGTTTTGGCATGTGCCCTAAAACATTTTAACGAGATATGCAATAATCTACAACCACTATAATTACAAGACCCAACATTGAAATTATTACATATCTGGGACTTGCCCAGAAACTTGATCAGGTGTCCAAGTTTGTCTCTCGTCAATTTCTCTGGAACACCAGAGGAACTAGCTCCTTGCGTGGAGGCATGTTCGTCTGCCGTGTTGGGACCGAAATTTGTTGTATGTGCCGTAGAGGAGCAGTATGCACAAGCCGGTGTTCTTAGACCTGCAAAGTGTCTGCAAAATATGACGGTATCGATCCTTCCCCAGTTGGATCTTGTTCCATACTGGGAGAAGGCCCCAGAAAGAGAACTATGGTAGTCATAGAAGGCTGATCCACCATATTTGTTGTCCAGGGCTACCAGCTTGTGCATATAAAGATCAAACTCCTCTCATCTATTGGGATAGACCACACAGATGACATCCCAGTAAATACCAAAGGCCAGTACAAACTCGGGAATAGTTAATTTCCTGTTTAGGCAAGCATCCCTAGATCTGACCACAACAGACACATCATCATAAGCATAAGTCTTATTCTCCACAATATCCTGGGAGGTAATCAGCAGAGAAGCCAGGGTGACTTCTTTACCTTCCAGGATATCTCTTTTTAGGTGCTCAGGGATCATATGAGCAGGGCTAACTTCCTGGTCCTCCTGGGTGATGGCTGGAGCAACTAACAGCAAGTCGGCTGGTGCTGAGCAAGCAGCTGCGGGTGGCTCGGCTAGGGTAAGGGCCGTGGGGACCGACTCAAGTTTCTCCAGCCTGGAGTTGAACTTGCTCATGGACGTCATGAGTGATGACAACATGGAATGTATGTCTCCTGGGTTGGATTGGCTGGGCCCTTCCCCGGAATCCATGTTGTTAGTCGAAGTACATAGTAATTTGAAAAGCTCTGCTTTCATTGCTGTAGCGGGGTAGGGGATTTGCCGCCTCTTCAATTCAGTGGTTATACGGGGGATCTAGTTACCTCTCCTCCTTGTGTAGGAGTAATTGCTCTAGCCGGAGTGCTAGGCAGGGAGAAATCCTCTACCCCTTCCTGAAACAAAACAATTAATTAGTGTATGAAAACCGACAAGATCGTACTGGCAGGCTAGCTAAGTCGGATGGCAAAACATTAAACTTATTTGGTGGCAGGTGAGGCCCTACTAGTTGCCAAGTGGCTTGAGAGGCTCTATCTATGCATTGGCGCAAGGGGATTCGAGGCTACCCGTCGAAGTGGCAGGATTGTAGGCCTCTCGGTGACTGTAACACAGAAAAACAGGGAAAGGGAGTGACAGGTGAGGCCCTCTCTATGCGACATGCGAGGCGACTAGCTCACGTGTGGCCCGATGGGTGTTTGCCTCCGAACGTTGAGGCGGGGTGTTTGCCTCGCGGGACCATTTACCGATGGCAAATGCCAAGAAGGGGTAAATACCTATTTAGAAAACTGTGACCCTATTGCCAGTACTCTAACCTGGGGGGGTGAAATGTATGTCAGAATTCCATATGAGCAGGCGTACGTACCTGGTAGTATGAAATATCTCACAGCGAATTTGTGTGGTGAAATATATAAACCTGGACAGCCTGAAACAGGTAAAAAGGTAATATAGTGAGTGTGGTCTGTGTGGGAATGGTGTAGACTGTGTAGCCTGTACCAGAGTTGTTTTTTAAGGGTTTGATTGTGGAGTTTTAATTGGTAAATGCCAGGAAAGTGCCCCTGCTGGTAAAAAGTAATACAATACGTCCGCAACCCTTAAGGACCAATTCTTGTTGGACAAATATGATACGGCCGCTGTCGCGATGGGGTTAAACATTTTTACAATTTAAAAAGGCATGCTATATTCTATTCAATTACACAATATTGGAAAGATTTAAAATATTCATAATAATCAATTTTAAAGAGAAAGTCTGAAGAATTTTTGAATATAGCATCTAGCTGAAAATGTATCTTTAAACTGGCTCTGTCACTTATCTGTTGGTCATGCCTCAAATTCCCTCCTTGTATGCACCATTGTTTGTTTGTTAATAAATAAATAAATGTTTAAAAAATTCAAGTTATACATAAGGAAAAGTAGAGACTCTTTTTCCCAATGCAGGACCAGCAATTTGATCAATGGTGACAAAGGGCAGAGCTTTGGTCAAGCTCCATGGCCTTCAACAACTCTGTAACTGGTCCTGGATCCATCTAGTCACTGGTCCTCTAAATTGACTTGTGAGTGATCGCACACATGGAGTACTCTTTCTCCAGGTGCCGCCATCGTAGATAATTGAAGTAGCAGTGCCTAAATAGAAAACCCAGAGGGAATGGCAAACTGTCAAATGGTAAGTGAAGCCAGTACATGGTCAAAAAGTAATTTAGATAACTGGTTAACTGATTTCTCAGCTTTCAGCCAAAGGAATCTTTCTTTATTCTATTAAAATCTGAATCCACTGACTCTGGCTAAAGACCATTTTAGAGAGATTTTTCAGATTACCTCACACCCGCTGTAGCCACCACACACCAGACAGTGACCGGCCTCTCCTGATGATGTCAGAAGAAGAGGGAATGGCTTCCACTGCTCTTCTCCTAGACTCCCAAGTAGTACTTATAGAAGAGCAGTGAAATTAACAATCTCCTCCTTACATCATCATAGAGGCTGGCCGACTTCTCTGGCTGCAAGCTCTAGCTCCTGTCCCACGCTACCACAAGGCATAAGGTTTCCCCCTCCCTGGCCAAAGGTATGCCTTTAGGGAGGGGGGATTACAGTTTAGTTTTTTTTAAATCAAAATTAGTTTTTTTGTTTTTTTAAGCAGCCCCTGTACTCCAACTACAGCTCCTGTGCCCATCCCCCTCCACAGCCCCTGTCCCTCTCCACTGCAGCCCCTATCCTCCTCCTCCTCTACAACCCCTGTCCTCCTCCTCCACAGTCCCACTACAGGTCCTGTAGGTCCCCTTCTAAAGCCACTGTTTGTCATATTTTTATATCTCCTGTCCCACACTCTATAGTCCTTGTTCCCTCCTCTAAAGGCTTTGCCCCCCTTCTCAACAGTCCCTGTCCACCCATCACAGCCTCTGTATCCACTACTACACATCCCTCCAACTGCAGCCTCTATTCTGCCACATGCAGCCCTTATCCCCTACTACAGCCCCTAACCCCACTTTTACACCTCATACTCCTCTGTACAGCCCCTATTCCCTTACTACAGTCCTTACCCCCACTACAACCCTGTATCCTTCCCTATAAAACCCTGTTCCCCCACCACAGCCCCAGCCTCACAAATACCCCCAGCCTCACACATACTCAATACAAAAATATGATAATTTCAAATAAACAAGCACTGCTCATTGCTGAATGCTACCTTGCAATAATGAGCAAATAGTGTTATGGTTGTCCCAGGCTAGCTATGGGTTGGACCATAGAAGGATGCTCCTAGCACTCACCAAGAACCATCAGCACCACATCAGACACCATAACCACCGCAGACCCCATGAACCGCCGCAGCTTGGTTGGGGTCTCACCATCTCCTACCAACCCTGGACCTACGACAAGGCTCCAGGTTCCAGCGGGTGAACCTCTCTTTCCCCAGAGAGTGAATCAGGAACAGGAACAAGCTCTTACAAGAGCTAGGTGAAGCTAAGGGAGTATGAAGAGCCCTGTAGTGATTATAGCTGTCCCCTCCAAACACGAGTCAAGGCTGCGAGTTGAGGGTCAAGTAGAACTGAAGGTTTAATGTTACAGCTGCTTATTTTATATAGTATTTCCCCACAAGGTTACCACCCACGTGGACCTTGTGGGGCACAGGACATGAAATGCACAATCCAATAAAGTTTTACATTTAAACACTCCCAGTTACTGTACACAAACCCTCCCCTCTGCCCGTGATACAATTAACAAAGACAATGGACTAACTCAATTAACTTTAGCAGAAGAAAAACACACATTTTTACAAACTCCAAAAAGTACCCTCAAAATACAACATATCCCCACAAATTTCCTGGAAGTCTTTTTTTTGCCCCACCGTGCACATGGTCCCATGCCCAAATCAGTTCCATACACTCGACGACAAAACACTGCTGGACAATTTAAGATGGCCGCCACCACATGTTTGAATCTGTTCCAGTTAAAAGTCCAAGGGCCAGAAACAGTGCTTTAAAAACCAATATTTACAAATAGAATTTTAAAATGACAATACACCCCAGGGGCCATAGTCACAGGGCAAGAGGCTGGCAAGCAGACCTCTCCAAAAGCCTGTGGCGAAGTGTAGTTCGTCACAAGTTGATCCCCAGATGGAAAAGCATTGTGGGAGTTGTACAACATATGGTGATCTACCTTTTGGCCATTCGTTGCTGTAGGGGGGGAGCACAAACACATTGTGCACAAGAGCCCTCTCTATGTTAGATCTGACACTGTTTTTAAGCTACTTTATATGGTTATCATCACAACTGATCTGCACTATACATGTGTATTATATATTTTCTTTTTACAATCATTTGTACTTATTGGAACAGTGTGATAATTTGGGATAATTATTCTTAAAATTATGGTTTAATAAAATTATATATTTTCTTATCAATAAACCTACAACATGGGGCGTAACTGGACGTCGGAAGTAATGGCAGCATACTAAGAGAGCTCTGCTGTCTCGGGCTCTCACAACCCGGCTAATACGATTTTTTTTGGGTGCAGTCCCTGATAGTAAAAACGAGGACTGAGATGTCCCCGAACCGCACAAAAAAAACCAGTGGAGGATAAAGACAAAGGTGCTTTCTTTGCGGCCAGGATGACGCAGAACAAACAAGCCGATAACCAGGCCCAAAGATGGCGCCGACTCCGATCCGGATACAGACCGTATGGGATCGGCTGAGAAAAGAACAGACACCCTGCTCACACTTAACCTCCTGCAAACAATGTTGGATGCGGCGGTCACTAAAATGAAGATGACAATTACAGCAGCTATAGCTGACTTGAAAAAGGATTTCACCGACCTGGATGCTTGGACCACTCTGTAGGATATGAATATCCATTTTGCTTAATATCCTAGCTGTTCATATAAGGGTTAATTTGAACCAAGAATAAAATTGGAATTGTACCTCCAATTCTCGGAAATAAAACTTATCTAAAATCCTATTTACGGGAAATGTTATTGGAACATGATTTTGTTATGTTCCTGGAAAAGGATATTTACATGATATGTTCTTGGATAAGGATTCTGGAATGTTCTTGTTAATTGTCCAAGATTTCGGTATTTGTAATCATCTGGGTTTTATCCAATATGCATACATTATATAACATCGAATTATAACTAAAAACAGCTGTTTATAACTTGTGAAAAATAAACTATGTCACAATGCTCAATGACCCCCACCGACATGAAAATGGAGTATAAATATAACTGACGTATCAATTAAAATTTGAATTGGTTATAGAACACATCTCTTGTCTTCTTGACTGATTCCCAGGATCCTGTCTTACAAAGAGGGTGTGGCTCCGGCAAAATATCCATCTTACAAAGAGGGTTTCGTGTATAGCTGATTTTATCCCCTACAAACTGGTGTCAGAAGTTTTGGGGTGCATTTGAACGGAACAAAAAAGATCAGGTAAGAGGATTAGGTGTCTATTTGACCTTTGTTCTTTTACTTTTCTTTTTCCATCCTTCATACATTGCATAGCTACGTTTTTATTAAAAGGGGATTTTCTCTTTTAAGGATTTTATATGGTTTCTCCTTGGGTAGGAGTAGAGCCTTTGTGTATACTTGTCTATGGGAGACGTCCCTAGACCCCTCTTTGGTAGAGGTTGCCTTTGGTAGGTTGTAAAACAGATTTCCAGTCTTTGGTGGACTGTGGTATTTATTTAACATAGTTGTTAATTTGTCAGGCTAAAATGGTTTAGAAAAAAAAAAAAAATAAGAGACGGAATTGTTAACTCTGTACTTGATGGGTATTTTGGCTGTCCTGCAACCTCTTTTTTGCATGCAATATATTTGTTGGCTTTTGTGTTTTTTTTATATAACTGTGCAAGGACTTGGAATTTCTGGTTTTAAGCGATACTGCTCATGGAGAAGTAACAGTTTTGTGGGAACTTTTGATTCCAGACAGCTGTTCTTTAACCACTGAATAATCAGCTATTCCAAATCCGATTCTCATTGAGTTTGAAATGGGTGCTTCCCAGTCTAAAAAATACCCTCGCCCTAATCCAGGGAGACTTGCAAGCAGTATGTTGCTAGAGTTGGTGAACTGGGGGATTATTTAGTGGATCCTTGGGTGGACAATATGTCAGGGTGGACACAAGGACAGGGTAGTGAAACTCCCTTCCCTAAAGACGGGGCTAATGATGATTATTTTCTGAGTATGGTTAAGGGATTATATTTGGGAGATAATAAATATTTTCCTTGGTATGAGGGAGATCCAGGATGGGACAAAGAATACATGAGACAGGGGGGTGAGAATTGGCTTAAGATTGCACCTCACTGGTACCCTGTTTCCCAAGAGGGGAAAAGGATAAAAAAGAATAAAAAGAAAATTAAAGAGACTGTTGTTGATACCTGCAAATCACCGCCTCCTCCTAATTACACTCCATACTATAGCCCACTATATCCCAGCCTGCCACCTAAAAATGATGATGATTTAGTTCTTGCTGTAGCAGTTGGATCACAGAGAATAGCCACTGCTCCATTAAGTTCCCTTTCTACCTCTCCCCAAGATGAGAAGATTAAACAAATCCAGCGAAGGTCCCCTAAGGGTATCCAAACTAGGTATAAGAAAAGGATGGGGCTGGGTGTTAAAAGAACAGATAAAGATGATGGGGAGGAAGAAGAGGAAGAAGAACTTGATGAATTAGACACACAACAGACATATCCTTTTCTGACTGTTGGAGATCAATTGATTTTGAAACCTTTAACTCCAGGAGAATTAAAGGACATAATTAAGGGAGCTCCAAATCCTAGAACAAATCCTTCTGCATGTATTATGTATTTGAAGAGAATGTGACAAGGACAAAATATGACACAGATTGACATAAAGTTAATTATTGATGGACTATTAGATTATGACTCAGAATCTGGGTGGGAATGGAGTAGGGTGCCCACTGTCAGTGTTCCACTTGATGGAACCACAGTGAGTACTTATCCATTAGCCACTGAAAAAGGGAGAGACATTATGTGGGATGAAGTAAAAACAGAGATGATAAGATTATGGAAAGACAAGCAGTCTATCTCCACTGCTTTGTCCTGTAAACAGGGCACAAAGGAGACAGTGACAGAATTCACTAAAAGGTTTTATAAATGTTGGAAAGATGAAGCTGGACTTGGTTCAGAGGAAAATGGTATGGGTTCTTTAAAAATACAGACTTGCATTGGGAATATGCTTCCAGCATATTCACTGCTAGTTAAACAGCTGATTTCAGAGTGGTCAACTTTAACTCCAGTTAAATTCTTGCAGAAAATACACGAGAGAGAAGCAGCAGGTTGTTTTGCTATAGGTAAAGATGGAAAGAGTATGTTGTATCAGTCACAGGGTTTACAGCATTGTGACCCTAATCGTGCAAGACAGAGAAGTTTTGGAGGTGATAGGAGATTAAACCAAAGAGGATTTAGGGGTCCAGGGGGAAGAGGACGTGGAGGAAATAGGTCCCAACCATTTATTAATAGAAAGACATATTGTTTTAACTGTGGACGGCAGGGACACTGGATGAATGAGTGCCTCAACCCTATCAGACAACAGACTGGACAAGCCCCAGGTTACAGGGGTCGCCCATGGATACCCCAGCAGCCCCACTACCCCCCACAGCATCGCTCTCCTGGCCCTAATACTCCCTCTGGCCCTAATACTTCCTCTGGCCCTAATACTCCCTCTGGCCCTACCCATCACATTCAATGGCCATAGGGCTGCCCAGAAGGTAACACTCCAGCTTTTCCTGTATTATCCTCTAACTTTATGGAACAACCCTTTATAGTCCTCAATGTGAATGGGAGGGACATGCCCTTTATTGTAGACACGGGTGCTACCTGTTCCACCATATGTATGGATGTATATAGAGGTTCAAGGGAAAAGTCGACACCTTCTGTGGGAATAAATGGAGTGTTAACAAAAACCTTCAAAACTATCCCTTTGGAAATTAAATTACCCCACTCCTCTATTTCTCTACGCCACCAGTTTAGCCTAATCCCAGGGTGCCCTGTTAGTCTCCTAGGGAGGGATCTCCTTGGACTACTGGGTACAACTGTGGATTTTTCCCCTGAGGGTGGTAAGGCAGTTTCCCTTACTGCCCCATCCTCTGGAATTTTTCTACAGATGGACATGGATGAGGTCCCTGCTTCTGTATGGGCTTCATCCAAGCTAGATGTAGGATACATAAATTGTACCCCTTATAAAGCAAAACTACGTCCAAATGTCAGCCCAATTTATATTAAACAGTATCCCCTGTCACAGGAAAAGAAGGATGGGATCAGACCTATGATCCAGTCCTTCCTTCAACAGGGTATACTAAGGCCTGTAGTCTCCCCTTATAACTCCCCTATTAACCCGGTCCCTAATGCTACCAAGGACTACAGATTTGTTCAAGACCTTAGGGCCATTAATAATTTAATTATTCCAATAGCCCCCATTGTCCCTGATGTTAACACTCTGATAACAGCCATTCCTCATGAAGCTAAGTATTTTACAGTCATTAATTGTAGCCCACATACTACACCTACTGTTCATAATTATTCCCATATTCCAATACCCTCATCATGTGTTGGTTCAATATTTTATTATTTGCAAAATACTAATGTTTCTCTAGATCAAGACAATCCTGTTCCCCTTACTTCTATCACTCCTGATAATGTTCATAGCATGTATAATACCACATGGCCTAGAGGATACGTCCGTATCATATATAATAGGAGTAGAATAGAGAACAGAGGTTGGTTCGCTGTTTTATTATATTGTAGCCCACATACTACACCTACTGTTCATAATTATTCCCATATTCCAATACCCTCATCATGTGTAAACACTACTATAATTCAGAAGGCTGTACACATAACACTAAATATATTTACACCTGATGCACGATTATGTAATCCACTACCTAATAGAGAGAAGAGAGAATGGTACGATACCATCTTAGGGGGTACGGGAACAGCTATGGGAATATTAAATGGTGTAGACATGGAAATACTAAAGAATAAGTTATCCACGGCAGGGAAAGAATTAGGGATAGGATTCCATGTAATGGCTAAATGGACCCCTACAATCACAATGGAAGGAATTACAACTAGAACAATCTATGTACACCTATCTGGGTAATCTAACATATGCTATTACTACCTAACAAAAAGAAGCACTGACTGGACCTTATGTGCCACTAGAGTTTTATGGATGCATCAACAGAGGTTAAGACTTGAGAATACTCTCATGGTACCTAAAATACAGAAAGTCAGAGAAATGATGGAATTGACTGACAACTACTGGATTAGTTTAAGGTCAAATGATGTATATTGTGAAGAATCGGTAGAAGACGAGATATCGAATTATTCATGTAGGGTTGGATTTACGTTATATGAAGTTGCTCCAACCCATATAAAACTAGCATGTAAGTTCTTCACTTTACCTACACCTATGTTTAATATAATTAATGATAATCTTACTTGGTGGAATCCAACTTTTACAGGAGAATATATATTCCCCAAGGATAATAAAACATATTCATTAGAACACTGTGACAAGGCAGATAAAGGTTATACATGCAGACATTCCTCACCCATCTATGAACCATGCTTATTAGCTAATCAAATAAGTAGTTGTACTTGGCATGTATATCCATCAGATTATTCAGTTATGTTAGAAATAGAACCACAAATAGTGTGCCTAGCTACCAACCAACCTGTCAATATTCCCGAAGTTGATAAACATTTACCCTTTGTGGGATGTACATCAAATGCAACCTGGATAAAATGGAAAGATCATACTTATTTCCTGCAACCTATTCCTAGTATATACAGATCCAAAATATATATTACACCCGCGTTACCTATCGTTGATTATCAACTTCCTACAGGAATAATAATTAATTTACTAAAAGGAAAAGGAGATATGTTTAAACATTTGAAAGCACATAAAGATGCCTTAGTACATACTGAAATATCCACCCACATAGTTGAAAGGGAATTAATTAAAGTTAGTTATAAAATCCAGGAAAATTTTGCTCATCATTGGCATGATGCCCTCACAGGTTGGTCCCCTACTGGCGCACAAGTTGTAAGGTCCTTTTTCTACCCTCTTGTCATCATTGTGATAATACTTGCAATAATGATATTGTTTAATTGTTATCTAACTTGCACACTTAAGAAACGTGTACAACAGATGATTACAGAAGCTGAAAATCGACAGCTCGATCTCCTCTTAAAGGGAAAACCTACGGCACAGAGCAAAGGGGGAAATCGAGGTGAAGAAATAATGAAAGTCCCGCAGACGTGATTAGCACGTCTGAATATACCTCCTTTCGTTTCTCTGCCGCAGGCCTCCCATGGATATTCCGTAAGGTAGATCACGATATGATCTAAAGAGAAGAATTGTAGGATATGAATATCCATTTTGCTTAATATCCTAGCTGTTCATATAAGGGTTAATTTGAACCAAGAATAAATTTGGAATTGTACCTCCAATTCTCGGAAATAAAATTTATCTAAAATCCTATTTACGTGAAATGTTATTGGAACATGATTTTGTTATGTTCCTGGAAAAGGATATTTACATGACATGATAAGGATTCTGGAATGTCCTTGTTAATTGTCCAAGATTTCGGTATTTGTAATCATCTGGGTTTTATCCAATATGCATACATTATATAACATCGAATTATAACTAAAAACAGCTGTTTATAACTTGTGAAAAATAAACTATGTCACAATGCTCAATGACCCCCACCGACATGAAAATGGGGTATAAATATAACTGACGTATCAATTAAAATTTGAATTGGTTATAGAACACATCTCTTGTCTCCTTGACTGACATCCTGTCTTACAAAGAGGGTGTGGCTCCGGCAAAATATCCATCTTACAAAGAGGGTTTCGTGTATAGCTGATTTTATCCCCTACACGCTCATCTGGAGGAAAAGGTAGAAGATATTACCGCTGCCCACATAGCTATGGGGGACAGACTGGGCACATTAGAAGACAGAATATCTCTGCACGAATCCAAACTTACGGACATGGAGGACAGATCCCGCCGTAATAACATTAGAATGCGTGGAGTACCAGAAGAGGTGGGAGTGCAGGATCTAGCGGCCTTTACGACTGAACTATTCCAGGCCATCTTGCCAGACATACCATCAGACATGTTTCTACCTGATCGTATACACAAAAATATTAAAAATATCGTGTACACAAAATATTACAACGCACCAAACAGGAGAGCATTATGCTATCCCTTGATGCCGAAAAGGCGTTTGATCGCCTGAACTGGCACTTCCTCCATGAAACCTTACTGGCCTACGGATTTCCATCCTCTTTTCTTTCTACAGTTAAAACTCTGTACAGTCTACCCACAGCAACAGTGTTGAATTCAGAGTTTTGCTCGCAGGCCTTCCCAATTACAAACAGGCACTAGAACCTCTTGCTATATCTATACGGAGCAATGATAACATTCATGGTGTGTTGGTGGGCAACTGTCACTTATTCATCCGCTTATAAAAATGTGTTTAATGACATTTACTGTCCACACAGGAAAAGTTGCGCCGAGCAGCAACCAAATCCAAAGAAGGGTTAATGCTGAGCAGCAATTATGTACTTCTTGGGTCAAAGGCCAGTTACAGCCTATCAGATCTAGAGGAGGGGTATTTAGGCCCAGTTCTCATCCTGCTCAGTGCCCTGTCATGGTTTCCCTTGTGGTTGTCCGAGAGTGCGTTATTGATTCTGGTAATTCTGGTTATTTGACTTTGGCATTGTTTTTGACTTCCCTATTTTCTGGCATCCCTGACTCCTGGCTTTTCCTTATCACTGTGTCTCTTTCTGTTTCCCTTGACCTCGGCTATTCCTGACTATTCTTTGGTACGTTAGTCCAGCCATTCTAAGGTCCAGTATATGTCACCTATCAGTCCTCTGTGTTATACAATTCTACGTGCTGGCTCATTCTGTAATCCTGACAGCAACAAGGAATACAAACTCAGTTTGCCGATGACATCCTTCTTACAATTACACAACCATTAATAACACTCCCCTCCTTACATAAAGAAATGCAAGTATACAACCAACAGTCATATTACAAACGTAACAAAACGCAAGCAATGTCCCCAAACCTATAGAAGAAAGATTAAAGGCAAGCTATCGTTTTGATTGGAGAGAGGATCACCTAGTATACCTAGGTATTTAAATAACCCATAAAGATAATGAACTCTTCCCAACTAACTATACGAAGTTACTGAAAAAAATCAACAGTCAATTACACTCCTGGAAGAACTTGTTCCTGTCTTGGGTAAGCAGAATAGCAGCGCTCAAGATATCAATCTTACCTAAGATTCTATATTTCTTCAGATCCCTGCATATCAAGCTCCCACAAAGTTACATAGCGAGTCTCCAAGCAACTATCTTACATTTCAGCTGGGGTGGTAAACATCCACGAGTCCCCAAAACGTTACTTTTGAGAAATGTGAAGAATGGAGGAATGAGAGCGTACTACTACTCTGCCATCCTCACGAATGTCATCAGTGCCCACTCGACAAGCTACATCCCTCAATGGGTGGCAATAGAGAGTAATGGCTGTGTAACACATGACCTGTCGACAACACTTTGGAAACCTCAGTATCTGAGACAAGCATGGCCAAACATGCTGTCCACCACTAGACATCTCCTTAAAATATGGGATACCTGCAGAGATAAATTATGTTCGGCATACCCCTGGGCCCTAGTGACCCCAATCAAAACCTAATTTCATTGTAATGGTACTTTCCCATACCAGAAATGGGAAAAAGCAGGAATCACACACCTATTTCACCTATGCACCACAGAGGGACTCAAACCCTTCCAGGATCTGCAAGAGGAATTCATACTACCTTTGAACTTTACATTCGCATATCTCCAAATTAAAGCAATTGTAATTTTCGACAAGACCTATACAATGAAAAAAACGTTACAATCCTCCATAACGAAGTTTGAAGCACAATATCTATCGTTGTGCCCCCCAAAAAAGACTTTCCTATTTGCTATCAAAGCCTCACTAACAAAGCTTCCTAACTTAGACCTAACTCTAGTCCCGTACACCTAGGTAAGGAGAGATGCCTCCGCATCAGATAACCACACTGATCAAAACAAAGACATTTGTGACTTCAGTCCACCCTGTCAGCACGACACTACAGAACACCCCAATACTGGTTTTGGTATGGAATACACCAGAGGACCATTATTCCGGTACCACACTCCCCTTATTATAACCTTCCCGCCCCCACCTTCCCACATGCCCAAAAGTGTTTTTTTTTTCTTCTTCCCCTTGTACGTCAAAATAGGTTCAGATATAGAATGAGATCATTACTCTGAATAACAAAATAGATCCCTGAAGCTCAGGGATAACTTTCAGCACATACGAAACAGAGATAAACATATCCCCCAAGAAAGTGTCCAAATAGATTTACACTCTACCCCACATATCTAAGTTATTTGCCCCCTACTATAGGACTATTTGACAGCACAGGGCGACTCCAGACAGAGACACCCCCCATAATAACAGGACAAAGCAAAGGACATAACAAATGATTCCAAATGTCTGAGCGACTTAGGGATGGAGTGTACCAACTGAGTAATGTAACCTATAATACAATGAGACTAAAAGGTATATAACCCATGGTATGTACTGTGATCAACGAACCTTTTGATGACCCCCCTCCCTTCTTACCTTTTGTATCCCCTTGTTATTTAAAAACAATAAAAAGTAAATTGTAAAAAATAAACCTACAACATAATGGTAGATAGTGTTGCATTCAGTCATTATTTGTTAGTAAATAACTTGAAAGTAAATATAACATTTAGTATCTTTCACTTCATGTACACAGGGGTCCATCCTGTCTCTGTATAATACTAGTCCCCTTTGTCTCAAAGCAAAATGACATCATACCTAGCTTCTAGAAGGTATAAAGTCTCGGTTGCAGATATTCAGTGTTCTGTGTTCATGAAATCTGTGAGAAATCAGTGGAGAACAATACAGCTTTGATGTGCAACTGAGAATTTAATCTATTATTAAAATTGAAATTTTTAGGTGTAATGGACCCACTCAAAATGGTAAGTTCAGGAAATGTCCACCAAGATATTTATTTGAAAATGACATGGAAATTGAAAGATGTCAGAATCAAATTTTATTTTGTGTTAATTATTCTAATTTCCATTTACTTTTTTAGGTAGAGTTCACAGTAGATAATTGTAATAGTCACAGCACATTGTAAAATGCAACAATAGCAACACATTTAAAAACACACAAACCGCTCTGCATACACAATAACAGAAAAGCAATGTACTAAAAAAAATAAAATAGATAAAATTAATATATATATATATATATATATATAGAATGTTCAGTATTTTTCTATTTAAGTGTCTAGCTGATTTATTCCAGCAAAGATATTAGATTAGATCACCCTGGCTCTGTAACCCAATCCTAGTTCATCAGGATTTGTGGTACTTAACCCTTAAGGACAGCAGGCATTTTTGGGGTGGCTAAAAACACCAGAGGGAGGAATAGAACATCCCAGCCATCCGTGGCACTTACCGGGTCCTTGTCGATCCCACGCCGGCTTTTGCAATCCTGGGGTCTGTCAGGGAGCTCAGGCAGCCCCCCTCTGACCGATCCGGCCCTCCCAGGCCATGTGATCATGATCACATGGCCGGAATAACCGGCTTATGCAGTGCCTACAGGGGGACTGCCTGAATTCTCAGGCTGTGCCCCTGGATCCTGAAAAAAGTTTTTCAAAATTAGTAAAAGTTAAATAAAAGTTTATAAAGTACATATAGTTAAATATATACATATGTACATATATATATAAATATGTTTTGTCCTGATGAAAGCTCCATGTGGGACCTGAAACGTTGACTTTTTAAATGGATTGAATAAAAGTTAAATTTGATTTGCAAATCTCTATAAAGTCCTTTCTGCGGTCATTTCTGCTATGTCCATATGTACATATTCTACGTACTTTATAAACTTTTGTTTAACTTTTACTAATTTTTATATATATTACAAAATATATATAATCTAAGTACTTTTATATACACATACATAATCCATTATTCTAAGTGTATTTTAATATTAATATATATAGCCATATATTTATTAATATTAAAATGCACTTAGAATGACATTCATTTTATATACCGTATATACTCGAGTATAAGTTGAGTTTTTCAGCACATTTTTTGTGCTGAAAAACCCCAACTCGACTTATACTCGAGTCAATGTCTGTATCATGGCAACTTACATTGCCATAATACAGACCAGGACCGCTGGGTTCATTACAAGCCCGGCGATCCTGTTACCTTCACAGCAGCTCCTGTCAGCTCCCTTCTCTCTCCTCGGTCAGATCCCTTATAAGTCTCGTGAGAGCCGCGGGGTCAGAGCGTTGCCACGGGTTACCCTCGACCGCGAGACTTACACTGGAGGAGAAGGGAGCTGACCGAGGAGAGAAGGGAACTGACAGGAGCTGCTGTGAAGGTAAGTAACAGCTCTCTGCCAGCCCCCCTCCTACATAGGCCATCCACCAACGAAACAAAAAAATAAAATAAAAATTTAAATAATAAAAAAATAAAATATTAATAATATAAAAATAAAAATAAAAAAAATAATAATATAATGTGACCGATCCATCTGTATAGACTGGGATTGCTGGTTCATCTGTTTTGCCTCTTTTCGTGGAATTACCTGTCCGTATGCCCCTGCTCGTTTATTTGTCTTTTCTACCGAACAAAACTACTGAACGGACGGCCACCCAGAAGAGAAGTGTGCTGCTGGTTAACCTCTTGATCCCAATTAGAATGTTGTGGTTAACCGCAGACACCTTTCAATTAAAACCGAATACAGGGTGGTCGTCTTTCGTATGTTGACCACGAGGCGTCGACCATTTTAAAACAGGCGAAAGACCAGCGATGTTTGGCACAGATTCTATGGAACTGAAAATGGACACTTTTTCCGCCGAACACCGCTAAAGCCACCGACCTCCCTTCTCGATCGACAAAAGCATATGAACACCAGCCGTTCAGGAGTTTGAACCGCACAAATGGACTTAACCCAGATAGCCTTCCCATGGAGTCAATCGCATACCGAAAGACTGTAATAGACTTTGACTCCATGGCGATTGAACTGTGCGTATGGGATCTGAGCGCTATTCGCCAATAATATGCACTCAGATCCAGGCTATCTGGGGATATGTTACACAAATGAGAAATGTTCGGCAATTGTAAAGTTACATATTTTTATGTGTTTTTTGGGTTGTATCTAAAATGGTCATTTGTCTCTGTCCTGGGAGATAATTGAATTACTTCTCAATTATCTCTAGGGCAGAGGGGAGGAAACCATGATGCATGCTGGGAATATTATGTGCCTGTGTGTCCTGAAATACTGTATGTGCATCTGCCATTACAGTCTCCCATTTGGTCCCCTAGTGGAGTGTCCACCAAGTGGGAGACCTGCATAAATACGGGCGGGTAGCCCACAGTAAACCCAGTTCATGTTTAGCCTCAATGCGGAGCTTGGTATCGTTATTGGAGGGGAATTTACTACACGAATAGCGACTGCCGGATGGAAGTATTAGCCGCTTGGGAGATATATGATTTTGGCTATTAGCGGTGATTCGTGAGTTTGCTGATTGGGAAGTGAAGTACCCGTACGGGTCCCGTTTGGGTCCCGCTAAACGGCGGTTTGTCTATTTGATGCTGAGGGTGCTGTTACATATAACTAAAACATTAATATTAAAATAATAATAATAATTAAAAAGTAATAATAAAAAAGCCCACCCCCCACCAAGGCTCTGCATCACATACACAAACACACAGTGCATTCATACACACAAACACTGCACTCATACACACACACTGCACTCATACACAAACTGCATTCAAACACACACACTGAACTCATACACAGACTGCACTCATACACACACTGCATTCATACACACACATTGCATTCATACACACACTGCACTCATAGACACACACTGCATTCATACACACACATTGCATTCATACATGCACACACTGCATTCAAACACACACACAAACACACTGCATTCATTATATACATTGTACAACGCTACGGAATTTGTTGGCGCTATATAAATAATAAAATAATAATAATAATAATATACACACACTGTAAATAAATATTCAATTAATATAATTTTTGGGGGATATAATTTTATTTCGAAATTTACCAGTAGCTGCTGCATCTCCCACCCTAGGCTTATACTCGAGTCAATAAGTTTTCCCAGTTTTGGGGGGTAAAATTAGGGGTCTCGACATATATTCGGGTCGACTTATACTCGAGTATATACGGGTATATGTTTATAAATACATGTATAATAAAATCAATAAATTAAAAAAACTAATCGATAAAAAAAAAAGTATATGCTTGTTTAACCCCTCAGTGACCATTTTTCAATTTTCTTACTTTTAAGGACTAGGGCTATTTTGACATTTCTGTGGTGTTTGTGTTTATCTGTCATTTTCCTCAAACTCATTTACTGTACCCACACATATTATATCCATTTTTTTGCCATTAATTGGTCTTTCTAAAGATACCATAATTTTTATCATATCATATAATTTACTATAAAAAAATATAAAATGATGAAAATATTTAAAAGAACAAACAAAAAACCCACTTTTTCTAACTTTGATCCCCAAAATTTGCTACGCATCTACAACTGCCCAAAAATGCCCATGCTAAATAGTTTTTAAGTTTTGTCCTGAGTTTAGAAATACCTAATGTTAACATGTTCTTAGCTTTTTTATTGGCAAGTTATAGGGCAAAAAAATACAAGTAGCACTTTGTTATTTCCAAACCATTTTTCACCCCCTCAAAATTAATTTTACATTGTTACATTGTAACAATGATTTCTGTGAGGAATTCAAAACAAACATTAATTGATGATTGTTTTGACACACATAGAAATTTAAGAATACATGTACTTTAAGGGTTACTATCAAAGAACACTTCAATAAGTGTTCAGCAACATGCCCTGAATACAGTGATACCACCCATGTATAGGTGTGTCGGGTTCTTTGGGGGCTAAAAGACTTTATTTGGAGGGTGCACATTCCGGTTTTCCAACAAGAAATTTTCACATCTGGTTATCATTCACCCATGTCCTATTTGGAAATTTTTGAAGCCGACCAATGTAATTTACTCCCATCAAACCATATTTTTTTCAAAAGTAGACACCCTAGGGTATTTCAAATAGTGGAATTTTAACACTTCCCACTAATTCTACCACCAATCTTTCTCAAACTTTTGGGTAGTCATTTTTTGTGTGTATTTCTCTCACATTTTACCTTAGGCATTGATTCTCAATTCCAGTGTGTGTTATTGAAAAATACCCCAATATGTGTTCAGCAACATCTCCTAAGTACAGTGATACCACCTATGCATAGGTTTGTTGGGTTGTTTGCGGGGTGCAATGCCAAACATCTGACGTGTGTTTTTCAAATTTTACATATCTTCTTTGCCTCTCTTCTTTTTGGGGGCCTTTTTACATATCCCAATTTATTTTCTTGCCATGAACGTGCATATATTTGAAAAGTTAACACCCCAAGGTATTGTATATGGAGTGTTTGATGTTTTTGATGCACCCATTTTAGCCAAAATTGGAGAAAGTGTGTGGTGGTAATTTTTAAATGGGTTGTGGGTTGCAATCTGTATTTAGTAAATTGCAACCTTTTTGTACCAGGTCTTTGTCTTTCTTATAATTAGGTAAGGCTGCAGCAGCAGATCTGCCAGATCAACCCCACCCATATGCCGGTTATAGGCCTTGATGCACACTGACTTCCTTGTGCTCTCAGCTCTGCCACGTACAGAGACCTCCACAGTCCTCTCAGTGTGGATGGTGGTAAGAAGATACACATCCTTCTTGTCTTTGTACTTAACTTCCAGCAGCTCCTCTTGGCGCAGAGCTGAGGTCTCCCCCCTTCGTAGCCGGATGCAAGTTGTCCTGGGTAACCTGCGTGGTTCTTTCTGATTGTATCGCAAGCTACTGTATCAAAACAATACAGTAGCTTGAACAAAGGGACACTTGTATAAAAATTGTCTATATACAAGTGGTACCCTTTGTTCATCAGGGGGAATATCAGGTCCCAGACAATCTTGCCACTGGTTCCCTTATGCTATGGGTAACCTGGAGCGTCAAGGTGGCTATCCTTTCCCTCGTACACCCAGAAGACCTGATCATACCCAGTCTCGTTATCACAGAGCTTATACATCTTTGCATCATACATGGAGTGCTTCAAAGAAATATACTGCTTGAATCCCAGCCTTCCCTTATACTTCATCAGGGATTCATCCATATATTCCTTCCAGGTGTATAAGCCTCTGCAAACCTGGCATCGAAGTGGATAATCAGGGGGTGGATTTTATACAGCCCAAATTGAGGATGCTCCATAGGGGGGCATGGGTTATTGTCGCTGAAGTGCATGAAATGTAGAATTATTTCATACCTCTTCCTCGACAATCACTGGGAGTAAATGGGGGTAGAGCAGATGGGGCTACTGCTCCAGTAGGAGCGGATGAAGGGCTTCTTTATGATGCCCATCAGCATAGTCTATGCCCAGAATTTTTAAAATTCGATGGGGACCCATTGCTGCTTTGCCAAAAACGATTCAGGCTTTGAAGAAGGGGCATATAAATTAGTTTGGGCAACAATGTTCCCCAATATCTCATCGCCCAGAAACACCTCCATAAACTGTTGGGGGCTAAATCCTGCAACATCCACATTGATTCCAGGATTTGCGGTGAAGGGTATGATATCTGGTCTCTGGTGATGAGGCACTACCCACTCCTCAGCAGTACTGCCAGCAGGAGCAGCACGTCTCCTTCTGGCAGGGGGCCTGGCAGCCACAGAAACATCACTAGATACATCACTAGCAACAGTGATGTATCTGAATACCTGGCATGGTCAGAGTCAGACATAGGCATGTCAAACTCTAACGCAAGGATGGCATATGCCTCCTCAATGCTATACAACCTCTGTTACCTCTGTAACATGATTACAATCACTTTATTTAGTGATCTGTCGCAAAAACAAAATCCCTAAAAAAAAAAATGAACCCCTAAATGATGAGGCAGGCTTGGGACACCCCCAGAAGCCCCATGATGCACTGGGGGGATTAATACATTTATTTTATTTATTTTTTATTGATTTTATTTAAGTCTTCACTGAGTGCCTCGACCCCTCTAGGCATTCTGCACACAGGCAGAGAATCGGAAGCCTGTCTGATGGCTTCTGATGCTCTGCTTCACTTCCGGGCGCAAAATGGGGCAGCCAGGAAGTGATCAAGGCATTGCTGCAATACCCTCAGAGGGGCTGGAAGTGATCATGATTGCTTCCAGCGCTCATATTTTGACATGGACGTACTAGGTCCTTAAGGACCATTTTTTGTCGGACCTAGTACATCTGTGATCTTTAAGGGGTTAAATTTGTTCTAACCGTATTTTGATATTAATATACATATATATTTAAATCAAAATACATTTAGAATTAAGTTATAATTACATATCTGTATCTATATCTATACATATATCTATATAGCTATGTATAAATAAAAATTATAATATTTTTACATAATTAAGTAATTTTATTAATTACAATATGAGGGACCTGCCTGACAACCCAGGCACAAAGTCCAGAGAATTTCATTTGCATGCCTTACATTTAACCCTGTAACTTTCCAGGACACGATAAAACCTGTACATGGGGGTACTGTTTTACTCACCAGACTTCGCTGAACACAAATATTAATGTTTCAAAACAGTAAAACATATGACATTGATGTTATCATCAGTGAATTTTTTCACATACAAACGTTTCACTGATGATCTAATTGTTGTAACACGTTTTACTGTTTTGAAACTCTAATATTTGTGTTCACCGAAGTCTCCAGAGTACCAGTTTTTTATGTGATTTCTAAAGTTACATAGTCAAATATAAGGCTTGCATTTCCTTTTTTTCACATTGAAATTCACCAGATTGTTACGTTGCCTTTGAGACTGTATGGTAGCCCAGGAATGAGAATTACCCTCATGATGGCATACCATTTGCAAAAGTAGACAACCCAAAAAATCTATACAAGAGGGGGGGTACTTTTGTACTCGGGAGACATCGCTGAATACAAATTTGTGTACTCTATATCAGTAACAGCTAACAGTATTATGACATTCACAGTTGAACTGCCATGCAGATATATATATATTTTTTTTAAAGCTTAATTTCTCACAATTTTTTTTATTTTTTTTCATATTAACTTATGTTTAATATATATAAATATATATATATATATATATATTTTATATATATATGTATATAGTGATGTGAAATGAAAGCCCCATTTACCCTGAAATGATATATAATAAGTGTTGGTGCATTTAATATGAAAGAGTGAAAGAGGTGAATTACGGTTGAACAACATGCGCAAATTCCAGGTTTTGTTTACGTTTTGTTTTGCTCTAAACTTGTACACCTGCCTCAGTCCTTAAGGGGTTAAAATCATGGAGCAACATCCTATATTTGTCTACTAATTAAAGGATGGACATTGTGAGCTGTTTCTGCAGGCTCTCGTTTTGTCTCTAGCCTTCAACCCTTACATTCATCAGTGAGCCTTGGGCACCCAAGACCCTGATGCTGTTTCACAGGTTGTTCTTCCTTGCAGCACTTTTGGTATATACTATCCACTGCATACCAGGAACACCCCACAAGACTTGCCAATTTACAGGTGCTCTTATCCAGTAATCTAGCCATCAATATCTGGCTCTTGTAAAACTTACGCAGATCTTTTCACAAGCTTTTTTTCCTGCTTCAAACACATGACATTCAAGAACTGACAGTTCACCTTCTGCCTAATATATTCAATCCTTTGTCAGGTGCCATTGTTTTGATATAATCAATGTTATTCACTTCACCTGTCAGTGGTTTTAATGTTGTGGCCAGGGGCGTACCTAGGGCATGTGGCACCCGGGGCGGGTCCTGGGTTTGGCATCCCCCCTCCCAACACCTCTTCTACAAAAAAAATCTACTAAATTTTAAAAATGTGTTATATTTTTCCCTGGCCTGAAGTCCTTACCTGGCTGGAGGTGGAGGTGCAGGGATTTCTTCTTGCTGCACCTCCATGTGCAGCAGTAACAGCAGCTTGTAAGGGCTGTGTTAAGCCCTGCCCCTGCTCGCGGTTATGCTCTGCCCCTAATCGGCCGTAGCTGTGCCCCTTCTTCCTCCCGTGTGGTCAGTTCATCTTGCTAGTCTCTGTGTGAGCTGTGCGACACCCCAGCTGCCATGGGGCGCAGCTCGCACAGCCCCCTCCAACCCCAAGACCAGGGTCAAGACACCCCCCTGCCAGGTGGCACCCGGGACGGACCGCCTCCTGTTCCTGGTTTGAAATAAATTCAGATTCTGTAAAAATAATTTCTCAAGTTATCACACAATTTATTTGCAGACCATTGATCATTTGTTTCAAATAAATAGTCTGCTATTTCCTCACTTTAAATAAAAATAGCTTTCTACTTATACATTTCCATTCAAATTAAATTTGCTACAATTTGGAGTTTAGTGAATAATTATTTTTTTTCACTTTTTTTAAATGAGATAAGGACACTTTTATCCATAGATGTTATTATATGCAAAAATGTAAAAAAAAGGCCCTATGAAATGTTGTTACAGACCCAAAGAATAATTTAAACGGTTTTCTTTTTTGTTTTTTGTGTGTAGGTGAACATGGAAATGAACCAAACAATGGTGACAGAATTCCTCCTTTTGGGATTTCAGAACCCTCCAATTGTTAACACTATATTATTTATTTTTTTCCTTTTAATTTACTTTTTGACATTAGCTTTAAATTTTCTGATAATTTCATTGGTGATAACAGTTCCAATTCTGAAATCTCCTATGTATTTCTTCCTTAGTCACTTATCAACATCTGACATCTTGGTCACTACCAATATAACTCCTAATATGCTCCATGTTATTTTACATTTAGAAAGCACAATATCTCTTACTGGCTGCATTATACAGTTTAATTTTAACTGTCTATCAACTACCTCAGAGTGCCTTTTCCTTACGGTGATGTCCTACGACCGATATCTAGCTATATGCAAACCATTACATTACATGTCCATCATGGATAACAGGCTTTGTCTCCATTTGGCCATTTGGTCTTGGATTTTTTCATATACTGTGTCGTTACTCTTTGCATTTCTAATACATCAATTAGTGTTCTGTGGACCTCACGTAATTGACCATTATTTCTGTGATTTTCTTCCTCTTCTGGAATTATCCTGTTCCGATACAACCATTGTAAAAATGACAGATATTGTATTATCGTTACCACTTGTAATTCTTCCCTTGTCTTTCATCTTTTACACATATATCTCTATTTTCATAACAATCTCCAGAATTTCCACCAGCTGTGGAAAACTTAAATCTTTCTCCACTTGTAGCTCTCACTTGATTGTAGTGAGTACATATTATGGGGTTCTTATAGCAATTTACATGACTCCTGCTAATAATTCTTCATTTAATATCAATAAGGCTATATCACTCTTATATACAATGGGAACTCCAGTTTTTAATCCAATTATTTATTGTCTAAGGAACAAAGATATTGAGAAAGCAGTGAGGAAATATCTCAAGTAGAATGATTCTAAATGACATTACATAATGCTTTTTGTTTTTGCTTAACGTGTTGTATTTTACAGACTATTTAACCATTTAACTGCTGTAATCCAATCACGTGGGGCTTCCTGGTTTGCCTCTTAGTGATGAACTCTATAGAAGGCAGTTCACACAACCTAAAAACAGAGAGAGAGAGAGTTACATTGCTAGCTGTTAGATGAAGCCTGAGAAGGTGGGTGGAATGCATCATGGAGTGCATCACTCCAGGAAGCCTACGTGATTGGAATACAGGGGAACCTGGAAGTGACTTTGGCATCTGCTTGATTTTATACTCTGATGCTGGAAATACCCACCACTATTTAAGTAAGAGTTTTAACCTTTTTATTGTGATAAAGAAGTGAATACTGTTCGACTGTGGTCCTGGCCTCTCTGCATGTCACCTTGTTATATAGAAGAACCTATTAGGCTGAACATACCTGAGAGTTGAGAATACCTACCCTGCCTAATTATCTTGTTGTGGAAATTTTCCAACTCAAGCTGCCATTTTCAAACCCAGAGCCAGCAGTGATTAGGCTTTGGTAAATGTAAGATCAATTCCAAACACTCCCTGCACTTTATATTATATATATATACGTTTAACCAGAGGATCTGCACTATATGTGTTTATTTTATCATATACAGAGCAAGGTTTGAAAATGCTATGTTCTACAAAATTTAAGCACACTGTTATTTCCACCTGCTAGAAAAGACGAGGGGAGCTGCTGGCTAATTTAAGAAGCAGTTTGTGTAGCCCCGGCCCTACAGCCACATCCCACCTCCTTAAAGCAACTGGCCAATCGGCATTCTCGTAGAATTCTACGTGAGGTCCATCAACTGTATGGGTGGCAATTCATGGGACATCGTTGTAAGTTAGAGCAAAATATTATATGGACAATAAACTAAAGAATGCAGCTCTTATAATTTAATAAAAAATGATAATAATTTAATAATTACCTTTGGAATAGTGAAAAATGAAACCTCATTACCACATAGTTAATGTTTCAAATGGAATTAAGACCTATAAATATAAATAATATACAAGAAAAATATACCACCTGGTAAGGAACAAAACCCTACCACGAACTACAAAAAATGGGTTATAGGGATAGCAAAAAGGGCATAACCCTACATATACAATTAGAAAAAAAGAAAAATAGTGACGAGAGATCCTCCCGTAACAAGACGAGAGGAATCCTCCCACTAAAGCTACCCCTAAATAAATAAATAAATGCACAGGCTAGTGTAACTAGAATAGACTTAAATAGAATATAACACATATGAGTTTAACATCCCAAAGATAAAGAAAACAATAATATTGTACATTGGATAATACCAGCAATCATTCACTATTAAATCAGTCAGTGAGAGCTTAGAGACAAAGTTACCACACTTGTAGCAAATATAATAGTTATTGGTGGAAACAATGTATCATGATGCACTCACAGAATGAATGATTACACAAAGAAGTGTGAATGATTGACAAAAGACCTCCCCCCCCCACCTCCCCAAAGTGCTGTGTCCTAGTACAGATAACAATAGAAAATGGCACATGAATCCCCCCTTACCAATTCAGAGGTAATCTCTATATAATCAAAAATTGAAAATTCAAAAAAATGCCCTAAGATCTTGTCATAAAGAATAGAAATCGAAAGGACAGAAAAGAGAATAAGGTGAAAGATAAAGGGGGAAAGAAAAGGAGTCCACAGTGGAGTCCCCAGCAAAAAGGAGGGGCACCTCCACTGTAAATACCCCCAATCTATATATAGGTGTCACAGCTATTGGAAAAGACTGGCGATCAATATAATATCTGGGCACAACACTAAAAGTAAAACAAAACCGAAGTACTAATAAATGTGATGGTGAAAGGTGAGTATAATAACATCAGAATAGCCCAACGCGCGTTTCGGCGGACAAACCGCCTTTCTCAAGGACATGAAATACAGCAAAAGATCCCCCACTCACATTCACCTGTTATAAAGATCATCTCTTCTCCTCCTACTAAATCATAAGGTGTGGTTATGGGCAGTCCACCAATAAAAAATGGCTATCGTTCTCCCATTCAAATTGGGAGTGCTATGGTGGCTGCAAAGGTCCAAACCGCAAAGTCCGCGCATGCGCGAGGACTTAGAAAAAGTGTACATGCCGATGGTGCAGGATGGGGAGAGTGTTGCGCTAGTCTGAGGCAGCATAAAGTTGCACACTCAGAGTATAAGCACTAAAACCATCCTGTACTACGAGTACAGCTAAATATATTAAGAGTTATGTTTCTCCAAAACCAAATATAACCTGCAATATATACACAGGCTCTCTCTAATTGCTCATTTCAGTCTGAAATACCAGAACATAAGTTAAATAGAGGTATGTCAAAAAAGAATTTATTTAGAACCCCATTAGTACAGCTCCATGAAATGAGCATAAAATAGAAAAAAACAGGTATAGAGCCCACTTAAACAAGGAAAATCAAAATTGACATACTAAATACAAGCCACAGGTGGTTAATAATCTTCTCAAATTTTAATCACAATTTAATATGCATAAATTATAAAGAACGAAATAGTAGGCGGTCCCTTATCAATGTTAGTAGAGGAGGGGATGAAGAACAGGAAGATATGGGACAAACTCAAATAGTCAAACCAAAAACAAAAAATCTTTTCATTCAAATTCAAATATAATAAGCCAAAAAAGTATATAAAAGCGGTACAAAAAATATTAATGTTATAATAGTTATAAATGGCAGGTAAATAGATAAATAAGTACTATATATGATCAGAGGGAGAAGGAATCCAGTACCAACTATTATCGATACTTAAATGAAGGGTGCAAATGAAAAGCCTTCGTTCAAGCCTAGAGGTTGGAGTGTCTTCAATTAATTTATCCACCTAGACTCCCTCTGTCTCAAGATCTTATCAAAGTCTCCACGTATTGGGTTTCTCTTAACTAATTCTAGTCCACAGAAACGAAGATTATTGGAATCACCATGATGGTATTCTTTCAAATGTCTAGAGATAGGTGTCTCGAGGCTATTCCTGCGGGGACCTTACATGCTCCCTAATTCTATCCCTAAAAGCTCTAAAAGTTTTACCTACGTATTTTTGTCCACATGAACATGTCAACAAATAGACAAGTCCTTTTGTATTACAGTTAAAGAAACTCTCAATCTTAAAGGTACCTTGTCCTGTGGTATCACTCACTACCTTAGAGCCCTTAGAGATGTACTTACACGCTACGCACCTACCACACCCATACGTACCACAAGGAGGAGTACCCAACCAAGTGGGACGTACATGTGGTTTCGTAGTAAAGTGGCTAGGTACCAACATATCTCAAATATTACGTCCACGTCTGGCTGGTTCCTTGTGGGAAAAACTGAATAAAAAACTGTATAAACCCTCAGATTGATGAGTTCCTGTTTTACCCTCAACATAGATCCTTGTCTCATGTGTGGGGGAAAAGGCTGCATCTATATTGGGTATTGCTATATGCTGTATACTCCCCTGGCTATAATCACTAAGCTCTTTCCTGCTACGCTCTCTGAAGGAGGAGAGGTCCACCCACTGGGAGCTGGATCCTGGTCTTGGGTCCAGGGTGGGTGGAGGGCAGTGAGACCCCCACCAAGTTGGGGCGGTTGGTGGGGTCTGCAGTGCTTATGGTGTCTGGTGCGGTGCTGATGGTCCTTGGTAAGCACTAGGAGCATCGATTGACGGAGGGTCCGCCACAATTGGTAATTACGTGGTGGTGAAAAATCACCAGCAACCGATCACCCCATTTAGGGGATATATAAACAAGCAGTGTGGAACTAATCATTATATATATGAACTATATACCCAACTGAGGAAGCTACAAACAATAGTGAAACGCGTTCCAATATTTTATATGGACATTGTCCCTTTATTGTTTTTATAATTGATGAATAAATTCTTAACTTTTATCCTGGTTTCCAGTTTTCCACTACTGCTTACTACTAACAAGGGAGTCCAGTCCCTAACTGCACAACACGCTACGATAGAGCCATAGAGGCTCTATGTATGTAAGTACCCACTTGGCAGCCTGATTTTATATTTATCTCTCATCAACTGTGCTACCCTATGTTTGCGTCTTATATATCTTTCCCAGGGCAGAACACATATTCCCTGAGAGGTGGGTCGCCTGTACGGACCCAGACGCTATTCATGCCAGAGCTAGGTTTTTAGCTCTATGTTTGTGGGTTCTTATGATTCCTATTTATTATAGGAACCCTGTATTTGCATAAGCTGCCCTATGTTGTATTATTTATATTTATAGGTCTCTATTCCATCTGATACATTACCTATATGGTAACAGCATTTAATTTTTCACTATTACAAATGTGATTATTTAATTATTATCATTTTTATTTATTATAAGGGCTGCATCCTTTAGTTTATTGTTATTAAGTGTTCTTGCATAGCAAGACCACTTAATGTTATCTCACATATATATTATTATTATTAAGTGTTCTTGCAAGACCACTTATTGTTATCTCACATATATATTCTTATTCTTATTCTTATTCTTATTCTTATTATAGCCAAATTTGCCACCCTAACTCCTCCCACAGTTTTTACACTACATAGACCAAAATTTACCAAAACGTGCAGATTGTTCCTGATCGGATTAAAATGTAGGTCTGGGTCTTGTGATTCTCGCAATATAAAGCTCTTCACTGTAGGATTTATAGTTTTTAAAATATGACCGTTTGAAGATGGCAACCACCAAAATACTCTGACCTGTCAAGGCTGCAGCAGCAAGTGATGTCATAGACAGGGCCTTTTGAACACCTGCTAATGCTTTTTATAAATGTATGGTTTAAT